GTGTATTGAGCACAAATACCACGCTTTTCCAGAAATTTAGCAAATGGGCCCGGATGTTGTCCACTTTCATCATACCTTCCATAATATTCACCACCCCTATCAGACCTGACAATCTTCACCTTTCTGTCTAATTGCCTTTCAACTTCATTAATATAAATCTCCAAAGCATTTGCAGCTTGAGACTTATCATGCAACAAATAGACATAACCATAACGTGAATAATCATCAATGAAAGTGATAAAATATTTTTCTTTATTGAAGGCATTAACATCAAACGGACCACATACATCAGTGTGTATAATTTCAAGAAGCTGAGTGCTCCTTGTGGCTCCTTTCTTTGTGTGTTTTGTTTGTTTTCCTTTAATACAATCCACACAAACATTCAAATCAGTAAAATCTAAATCCGGAAGGATTTCATTATTTACCAATCTTTTCATCCTTTCTTTGGAAATATGTCCCAAATGTTTGTGCCACAAGTAAGCGGAACACTCATTAATTAAGGTACGTTTAGTACCAACATTATGATGCAGAGTCATAAGTGTTTCAGCATAAAGATTATCAAGACATAATTTATATAATCCATCACATAAAGTACCATTACCAATCAAATGATTGTGCTTGTACAAACTGAAACTACCACTACCAAATTTAAAAGAGTATCCAGCAACATCAAGTTTGGAAATTGAAACTAAATTCCTAGATATACTAGGTACATAAAGAGTTTCACGTAAATCCAAATGAAATCCACTATCGAGAATTAAACGGTAAGTCCCAACAGCTTCCACCGGAACTTTCACTCTATTGCCCATAAGGACAAACTTTTCATTTGGCTTTGTGGTTTGGGTCATAAGAAATCCCTACATTGTATTAGAAACATGAGTAGTACAACCAGAATCAATCCACCAAGTATTATAAGGAACTTCAGCCAGGTTTGATTCATAACATACATAAGCAATAGGCTTACCTTTCTTTTCGAACCAAGCCTTACGTTTCAGGCAATCCCTTTTGAAATGCCCTTCCTTTTTACAGAAATGGCACCTCATCTTTGCATTACTTTCCTTTTTGTGGATTTTAGAAGAAGAGGCCTCATTCACTTTAAGGGGTCCTCCTCCTCCTCCTTTCTTCTCATGCTTCTTTCCTTTATTCTTTTCAGCTCCTTGATGCTTTACATAATTGATAGAATGAGCTCCCTGATTCTTAAGTCTGGTTTCCTCCTGAACTAACATACTGTGCAATTCATGCACATTCCATTTGTCTTTCATGGTATTATAGTTCATTTGGAAAGGACCATACTCAGACGGTAATGAGTTCAATACGAACTGCACCAGGAAGTTCTCATCCACATCCATTCCCAATGCTTTCAGTTTTGCCGCAATGCTTGTCATTTCAATAACATGCTCATGCATAGTACGCGAACCATCAAACTTCATGGTGGTCAGTGTACTCATAAGTGTCCCAGCAAGAGACTTATTAGCAGTTTGGGAGCGCTCTTCCACAAGTTTCATCATTTCGATGGCACTTTCAGTTTGTGGAAGAGCTGACTTAATGTTGCTTGCTATGCTCATTTTCATGTACATCAGACTTAATCTGTTGGATCTTTCCCAGTTCTTAAAATGGTCCCTTTCATCCTCAGTGCTTTCAGGAGTAATAGCACCAGGTTCCTCTTCTCTAAGAGCCAAATCCATATCCATTACCCCAAGGTAAAAATTGATTTGCTCTTTCCATTCAGAGAAGTTCAGCCCATTAAAAACTACAACAGTTGAGAACATGGAATGTGTAGCAACTGGTACTGCGAGGAATAACATTTAAAAACATTAATGCTTTGAGTCATACATGTCACATACTAACATAATTCACAGATTCAAATATACTAACTTCAATGCATATCAATGTTCACCTTTGGGGATCCATTAACATACAACATTAACTATAATGATGCTATATAAATTTCACATAATTTGGCAATGATGCATACCCCTATCATAAATATTTGCCATCTTTGGATGTCCAAATGTGAGAAAATATGCCAACAATACCAACATCCATGTTCATTTTATAAAACAAATAATCAACCTTTGGGTTGATCCCTAACTGTCCTATAATAATGAACTTCAATTTACCACAACCAGAAAATTATTTCATACTCTTCATAGCATCACAGTCATGGTAATTGAAATAAAATTCATGATATTTGAAATTAAAATAACTCTTCAAGATTTGGCCACTTTGGTGACTAACAAATCTACCATAATTAATTTCAAAACTTTAATATTTCATAAACAATAATAGGATTACATTTTCACATTTAATTTTAATCCAACCACATCACATAATCATTTAAATCAATATGAAAACCATGAAGTAAAGTAATCATGATGCACGGTTAATTGATTCAAGAATATTAAGAAATCAACAGTAACGCACGATTACCGAAAAGTCACATCCAAATCAACATGAAATAGCGATCTGTGTATAAAACTTGAATGTTGATCGTGAATTGTCAAAGGCTATTCCATGATTGTAAATTTCAAAGGCTTTGTCCATTAACACAAAAACCGAGACATTTATCCAGTATCCATTCATACAAGTAGCGATTCATACAAGTAGCCATTCACCATTCAATTCGTTTTGTCCTTTTGTGTATTACAAAATCAAATCAAAATTTTGCTTCAGAACACAGAATCGAAAATGGAACGGCGCTCACAATTCTATTCAAAAGCTATTCCTTTTCTTTAATAATTTTCATATTTACGTTTTCCAAAAATCACACAGTACCTTTAAAAAAAAAAAACCGATTAATAGATATGAAAACCTTTGTATCTTTTTGGTTTCGTTACTGTATGCGTTAAATAAATTTTAGAAACCCTAATTTGTCAAAATCAAGAATCCATCATAATCATACATGGAAAACCATAAATTCTTAAACACACGCTCTGATACTACATGTAAGCAATTCAACAATGATTCATGATTCATGATTCATGTTCATCAATTAACATTCTAAGAACATGATAGAGGATCTTTAAAATTCATGATTTTCACATAAGAGTGTACCTTTCTCCATTAGTGCGGAAGAACTTTCTCCATTAGTGCGGAAGAACTTTGATGATGGAACGTCGTTTCACAGAGTCTTTACCCTCTGCTTTTCTTGTATCGTCTATGACAGGGATCTGATACAACTTTTATGGGCAGACTATGGAGGAGAGAAATCTGAGAGATTATCATTGTCAGAGACTCACCACTTTTCACTTTATATAACTGAACCATGTCACAAGTTACAGAATTTTAATTAACTCCGTGTAACTTCCCATTAATGCGAAACGTCAAAACGTCAATTACTATAAATGCGAAACGTTGCCATAATGTAAAACGTCAAAACGTCAATTACCATTAATGCGAAACGTTTCCATAATGCAAAACGTCAAAACGTCAATTCCCATTAATATGAAATGTCAATTACCTTAAAGCCTCTTTTATTATTAATCAAACCAATTGACACACATCACACATGAGACACAAATAGTTTTACAAGTACATCTCGAGGTTAAAGGCCTCCAAGTGCGCTTGGGGGGTCCTGAGTTCCATCACACCTATCTAGATCTAGCTTTTGGAATTCTGGAGACAATATTGTGTCCGTTTTGCAGTACATGAAAGGACAATTATTGTGAATGCCTAAGCGATTCTGGCATTGCTGATTGTCATTGGGTATGGGCCCATAAACTTATGCCTAACCATTAGCGTGGTTGTGGTCTTTAGCGTGACTTTGATCTCCAACTTGGATTTGACCATCAGTTCAGCCTTGGCTATCATCTGGGACATTGCGTTGCACATTGTCATGCTGACCCTAGGCCAAAAATTGGTGCTCTATGTAATCTATTCTCTACATGATCACAGCGAGGACTACTTGCATCTCGTTGTTATTGTTGATTCCATCTCGGGCTGGGTGTGGGCGGAGGTAGACTCACAATCTGCATTGTTGATATGTACATTTTTAATCTCAAATTGGGTGTTGTTAGGCTGCTGCTTAGTGTGCAGGCCATTCTATAATGGTTTTTTCTTGTGATTTCCTAGTGGCGGTGTCGGTGAATTCTGGTTGTTCGCCACGCTACGCTTGTTCACCATCACATGATGGGAATTAAAGTTTATTATTTCCCATAGACGACACCAATGATCGATCTAGGGTGATTATGAATGGCCAACTGAATGTTGGTAATTGTATCTTGGATCAATACACCCACGAAAGTCCATTGCAGAGACATTGCAAAGGGTAGTAAATCATTGTGCATGAACAATGAAGGCGTATAGCCGAAGACGTGGAGTGTGTGTGCAGAGTAACAACTAAGAGAGTAAGGAGCAAAAAATGTGTACTCTAAAAATGGTATACTCAGTCAACTAAAAAATGATAAAAAATACATTTTCTCATATATTATTTAACATGATCATATCATACAAAATGATTATAATTATTTATGATTAAATCAACGTTGATAATTTTATAACTCCTTATACCAAATTTTTTCTCCCATCTCTCATTATTATTGATTTGGCCATAAATGGTGAGGATTATATCATATGATAGTCATATTAAATAATGAGCAGACCAAATACAATATGGGCTGGCCAATATGTATCGAGCCTAACCACACACGATTGAGATGTGGGTTGTTGTTCTTGGTCTTGGGCCTGAAGTTGAAGTTGGATTGTCTCTGTCCTTTGTAGTAGCGCGTTGGATGCGAATAGAGGGGGTACCTACGAACACACTCCTATGCTTAAGTTAGTATCAGAGCCATGAGTTTTTATGTTATTATTGTAAAGATGATCGTACCTTGGTGTTGTACCATTTGTTTATATAGTGGTTATGATGCCGCCTTAGCAAGGCGGCTTGGCCTCTGAGTGGCCAGGCTTGGGCTGCAGGTCAGTGCTAGGACTTGAGTAGCCTTATCTCCAGTCGTAGAGTCGCGGCAAGTTGGAGCTGTCTATCTTTTATTGGAATAAAGGCACGGTGGGATTGCCTTGGGCCTTAAGTTAGCTTGCTTAAGGGGGTTTTATCCGCGATATGGGCATCACGTCTTGTCCAGCGTGATGAGTCTTATGCGCTATGTTTGTTCATCGCGCTTGCTCTGGATCCTTAATGGGTTTGGGCTTCTCCGTATGTCACTGGGCCTCTCATGGGCCTATATTTTATCCGGATCAGTTTCCCCCTAGCTTGCGGTTTTGCCATGCGGCAAAGCTGTGAGCTATATGCTGTTTAAGCGCGGTAGTTGCATCTCATATGTCCTTTCTGTTTGCCGCGGTAATCATGTTAAAGTGTCATCATGATTGTTAGCCGCTTAAGAACGGTGGATTAGACATTTAACTGTCAGAAGCATTAAATGTTGGGGTCGTTACGTGGGTGTTTAAGGGTAAGCGTGGATGGTTTTTGAAGTAAAAATGCTTCCTCTTCTCGCCACGTGTCCCTGTAAAACCATTTTACTCAACACGTTTTTGGTGTCTTTTGGACTATCCGTTTGAGAAATTATTTCGTATTTGTACTGAGCTTATTAATTTGGAGGGAAAAGACTTCGTCGATATTGTGAGAGATTCTTTGCTCCTTAGAGTTTGTTTTCTGCATTTCCAGTGTTGCCACGTCCTGTTCGTGGCTGTTTAATCCAAAGTATAAACTTCAGGTGTGTTCTTCTTCTTCCTTTATTTATCTTGTCTATTTTAATCAGCTTTGTTTTCTCGTCTGCCTTCTTCATGCTTGAGGCATGTCTAATAATAAAAAATGTGCGAACTTTATCAGATTTTTCGAACGGTCTGGCTCGTCCAGTCCTCCTTCGAGATTGTTACCTAGGTCAAGGTCGTTGGGAACTAGGGAAGAGCGGCCTACTGAGGAGTGTGTTGCCCCCTGTCCCAAAGTATCTGTAAATGATAACCGTTTCCCTGCTGTTCGTGGGTTAGAATTAGGATCATCTTCGCGACAACCAAGTCGCGAAAAGACATTTTCTCAACAAAGTTCCTCTTTGTTTCCCCAGGATTCCTTTAGAATGTTTAGGCCTATTATAATTTTGAGTGATTCCTCCTCAAGATCTGAATGTAGTGGGAGTAGTAGTATGTCTAATAATACAGTGGACCCTAAACTATCGTCTCCAAATATTTTGCGCGATACTTTGCCTCTTATCGCGCAAGAGTATCACGGTCGAAAAAGTCCAAGTCCCTTACCGTTGAATGTAATATATCCGGCAGGGTATCCTTTTAAGAAAAGGAATTTTGATAATTATAAGTCTGCATTTGCTGTCTCTGCTTCCTCTGATTTTTCTTCATCTACTGATTCT